TATTTTTTGGGTTAGAATTTTTATCTATAAGGGCACTTTCGCCCCGCCCTGCCCCCCTTACTAAAGGGCAAGGGAGGCGATGCCCCCTTGCGCCCCCCTTTTCCAGCGTCCCTGGTCGTGTACTTCTTCACTGCCATTGGCTCCGAAGACATTCCATTTTTCCATTGTTCATTTGTACTTTGTCTTAGTTTCGCTTCAACTTCTGGAGTCACGTTACATACCAACTGTGCTGGACAGATGCAGTTGATACAGAAAATCTGAATCTCAAAAGTTCTCAATAGCTTTACGAAACGGAAATTATATAAACAAGGCCGCCGGACAACTCAGTTCAGGGTGCCCCCCTTGGAAGCTCGATTGCCTGGGTGCCCCCGGCTCTTACCGGGTAGAGCTCATAGGAGTTACGCCACTGCCCCCTCTCCCGTACGCTTATGACTACAGCGACAAATTCCAGTCAAATGTCAGTAGGGAAAATTTTTTAAAACGCTGTAACTCGCGCCTTGAATGGCTTGTCAATGACCAAAGAACGTGAAATTTTCGGTATAGACTAATTTGAGCATGAGGATTTCAATTCTGGCCTTTCTGGGTCCTATTCCTGCCAAATATGAAGTTAAAAATAGATAACGACAACTCAGATGGGAGAATAGTCTTGATATCGAAGGAACTAGACTCAGTTCCGAAATATCACATACTCGAACCGACCTGACCCGCGTAGCTCAGTTGGCAGAGCATAGTTGGGCTAGTCGTAGGTTCGATTCCCACCGTGGCCAGGCATATTTTTCAAGCTTGCCCGGTGTGGATATACATTCAGAGTAAGGCTCGTTTCAGACCATGTTCAGACGGCGTACTTCTCATGTGCCGAACTTAATTGATGAATTAGGTACGGCAGAAGAGCGACGTATGAATCAATTAAGTACGGCAGAATTTGGAGCGGCAAAAGTTCGACACAAGTTCGGCAGAACTTGTCGCATTATGCGACGTTGGAGCGACGTTGATTCATACGCCGCTCCACTCATGTGCCAAACTTAACTCAACTTTAGTCTAAAAATAAACTTATTTATTTTGAATTTTATTGAGGTTTCGCTGGCGAATGCGCCCTAACCTTGTCAATAACATAGTATTTGGTACGCCGTTTGAATCACTGCCGTTCTTGTGTCGCATCTAATACAATTAAGTTCGGCACATGAAGAGTACGCCGTCTGAAACGGGCCTAACATCACAAGCATCATATTCACCTTAGGCTTAATAGTACATAACATCAACAAGAAAAAATCATACATTTTCTATCTGAATAATTTTGTTGTCAAATTTGTGAGATCAGTTGTGGACCATTGTGAGCGAGATTTGTAGTTTTTGCTAGTACTCTTATCTCTTAAATTCTCCAGACCTGATTAGAAAATGAACAGCAAACCAATGATTACATTTTACATACCATGAAATCATGAATAAAATCGGGTATATAAAAATAAAAAATAAAATGAATAAAATAGCCCAAACCGAGTACGTCGGCAACATAAAAAAACTTCATAAAGTTTATATAGTATAATACTACGCATGTTCGTTGATTTGGCATTAACATTGCTGCTAGTAGTCAAAATTTGATCTGAATTGATATAAAGCACAGCCGGCAATTTCAGTTTTGTGAATATAAACGTTCGTTAATTCCGCACGGTAAATACTATTTATCCAGTCTCCTTCGGAGATCAGTTGCCATGGCCCCAAAATGCTTTGCTGTCGTGATTGGATGTTTTTACTAGTTTTTACGGTTGGCGCGACAATTCAAAGATACAAACGAGGATTGAAATACAAATTTATATTGAAGTTTATATACAAAATATTGACTTTGATAGCTTAAATAGCGTTTTACACCTTGCCGGAGTACTGGTTCAGTGATATGGATAAACAAATGTGGAAATTTAGTTGTCGCGTAATTAAATAATCATTTGATTTGATCAAGTTATTGTGCAGCAAGAAATGATCTCTGGTTCAGATGTTTCTGGTGATTCCATTGAGGTAAGTTTTATATTTCAGTTTCGATATTTAGTCAAATACATTTTAATAAAAGCTCTTGACAACAGAAAAATGCATTGGTGTTATTTAAATGCCATGTGTAAAAACCTAGAAATACCCAGGGGACACTCTGTATAAAATTATAAAAATAGCACCAAAATAATGGGAAATTCTATATTTTACTATGGTCTATGTAAATGTTACATTTTACTGTACCTGAGTAATTTAAAAACATGCTATAAAATATTCATGTGTTACTCCAGATGGTACAATAAACTGTCTAAACTGTTAAGTACCCTTTTATACTTTGACAGACCTGACTACTTGCTGAATTGATGTAAATGCTACAGGTCTTAAAATATTGGTCGGTCATGGACATAGTCCAACCCATTAGTGAAATTGTCCAATGTAAAGAGGAAACCACCGTACATTCTGTCCGACCTATGTGAAACTGAGATTTATTGTTTGTCCGACCCGAGTGTATTATTTGGTGTCGAACTGTAGCTTTGTCCAACGCAAATCAAAATGTACCCTAGTCCAGGACTAGATCGAGGCTCATATGTTAAATGGAGAAGCAGAGTAGTGTATAAAAAGTGAACTGGAAATGTATTGTTTTAATGTAATCGAGGACCGGGCAGCGAGCGAAGTGGTGAAGTGGAAAACAGGCTTAAGTTGTTGAACTCTTACTGCTGTTCTTGGCAAGCAAGTTAATTTAATTTTGGCTTGGAAATAAGTATGAATGACACAAATTATTTAATATCTTCACAACAATCAACATTTACTGTTCAGAATTAATACATTGTGCTGATATTAATTTGTGTCATTCAGAATTTCAGACTTATTTCCGAGACAAACTGAACTGAAGGTCATCGGACATCATCATACATATGTCCGACTCAAAAACATCGCACATTTTGTCAGACGGCCAGGCTGTAAAAGATATTTTAAGGCCTGTACGTGCTATCAAATTACAGCTCTCGTATGTGATCAAAATTTGCTCTAATATGTGATCAATTATTGAATTGCACTCCATAAAATTAATACATTCTATATAGTACTAATTATTATTTTACTCGTCAAAGGAAATTATGGTGTCAATCTGCCCATGTGTCTAGTTAATTGCGCCCTTCTTTATTATTTTACTATCTAACGCCAGATGATTTTACTCTTCACGGGAGACTGTTGGTGCTCATTGGGTTAAATACTTCCATTTTGTCTTGGGGATGGTAAAATGTAAACTTATAATGCCTAATGTCACTTGTAAAAATGCACAGGTTGTTGTGGGTTACTGGTTTTATTTTACATTATGTTTACTCTGTTATCACAATTATTGTCGAACCTTACCAAATATTGAGATCATACTACTGACATAATTTTAATTACACAATAAGACAGATGCGGATTGATAGGGATGAAAATACAAGCAGAACTTCAACATATTACCATCAATGATCATTCTGTGTATATTCCAACCTTTTAGAGTTGACAGCGGGAAAAGTAACATAAATGGTTAAATAAACTCATAGTGGATGGCATGCTATGTGACTTACAGTAATCCATTAATTTTATTAATGCTGTATATCCAAAGTTGAGCTTTCACATTTTGATATGTACTGTATACCAAATTCAGGCCTCGAATTTCCCTGAAATCAATCGACGGCAATGGCGTTAAAAATTGCCGTGGAACGTAACAGCTGTCTACGGCAATTTTGGCAGTTTCCACGGTATTTTTCAAATTACTGTAATAAAACTTTAATTTTATTGTTACTTTGGATTTTTGAAAAGCTAGAAACATGTCTACGTATTTCTTTAGTGTTTTTTTTTCGAAAAAACTGAGACTAAAATAGTGATTCACTCATGATTTGATCAACATCTGAATTCAAGTATCAAAGTAGTAATGCACAGTGAATAGTATAAAAATTGCACTATAGTCTATACTGCAAAAAATTGCCGTCGTTGCCGCAATGATCCACGGAATTTTGTTCTCCCTCTACAGCAATTGCCGCGATAAAATTCGAGCCCTGATACCAATGAATAACTTCAATCTTTTGTGACTTACTTGAAATGATTGGGGGATCCAGGGATGTCAATTTTTAAATGTCCAATAGTGTTAACATGAATTGTTCTGTTCAGAATTATGAGGTGTTGAATCTGTTGGGTCGTGGAGGATTTGCGTGTGTTTACAGAGCAAGATGTATTTCATTATCACAGGGCGAAGTTGCCATCAAGATGGTAAAATATTATTTGCTTATAGTTATAATAAAAAGAAGTTCACTAGTATTTTGAACAGGGTGGAATTTTTAATGTAACTTAAGTGTTATACCTCTATGACTAAATTATAATAAGTTAAATACAAATATACAATTGTCAATTGTGTACGGTATTTATAAAGGAACTTCAAGATGACTGTGGTCAGTTATTTTGCAAAAAGAAATTTTTCCCTGCATGAACATGGTTTATATTTTGTAGATTGACAAGAAGCATATGAAAGACAGTGGGTTGGTAAAAAGAGTGAAAAATGAAGTTGAGATTCACTGTCAACTAAAACATCCTTCAATACTAGAGGTACGATATCATTTTAAAATGAATGTCTTATTCCAGTGTGAATCTTGTTAATATAGAAAAAAGATACGTTTTTGTGTTATTCTAGGATCTGTCACTCATTTCGTCATTTGAATGTTTATATAAGAATATTCAGTCACCAAATATTCTTTTTTCTAGCTGCTCAGTTATTTTGAAGACTCGAATTACGTGTATTTGGTTGTTGAACTTTGTCACAATGGTGAGGTGAACAGATTTATGAAGAATACTGGAAAGCCATTCTCTGAATCACAAGGTAACAATTTCATTTACAATATTGTAGAGTGAAGTATTACAGCCAAGCAGCTAAACAACTAAGTCTTTTAGAAAATATACGATGATCACTGAAGTATTAATTTATATAGACTGATTTTACATGCCAATATGCAATTTATTATTTAGCACGTAAGATCATGTCGCAAGTAGTAACTGGGTTGTTGTACCTTCATTCTCATGGCATCTTGCATCGAGATCTAACATTGGCCAACTTGTTGCTCACACAGGACATGAATGTCGTAAGTACTGTACACACTGTAACTCTGTAAGTCTTATTATAATATAGCATTTGTAAATTCTGAACGCTGAGTGGCTAAGAGCCGTGTTGATATAACTCGATGTCAACACGGGAAATTTTCCGCCACTTGTAAACACGGAAATTTTTCTTACCTTCGGGCTTTTGACATTGCTATATTATAAAAAATATATAAAACATTTTTTCCGTATTGATATATAGTTATATCAACACTCGTGGAAGTTGGGAAAACTCGAAATTGTATGAAAACACTCCGCCCTTCGGTCGTCGTGTTTCCATATAATTTCTCGTTTTCCCAATTCCACTCGTGTTGATATAACTGTATATCAACACGGAAAATGTTTTATATTTGTTAAATGTTAAATGTAAAATGCCAATGGTTATGTAGTTAGTAGTTACTTATTTGTTTAGTCAAATTGAGATGTAAAACAGGTGGTTTGTCTTTTAGAACCAGCTCATGAATTTAAACTACTGTATATATTGTTATATAGAAAATTGCAGATTTTGGTTTGGCCACCCAACTTCGAATGCCAAATGAGAAGCACTATACCATGTGTGGAACGCCAAATTTTATTTCTCCGTAAGTTGAGTCATTTTTGCCGGTTAAATTTTTCTGCCACAGGTAGTAGACGCACATTGTACAGTATAGAGAAGAATTCATTTCTTATTTCAGTCGGCTGGACACTCTACAGTATATGTCACTATAGACTATAGTCTATAGAGTCTGCGTCGCAGGTCAGTTGCCACCGAACACTTCGGAACAAATTACAATTTTTGGTCGGACATTTTTATCCAGTTATTGGAGAGGTTCAGATTTGATTTCACTACCGCTACCTCTCATAGGCTTAATACGCATTTGATTGGTTAATCGGATAGAATAAAATGCTTCTGATTGGTTAATAGTGTATTGGTAGCGGGAGTGGACTCGCTAATATACCATTATACCGTTAAGGCCTGATCCATGACGGCGAAATTCTTCGCAAGAAATTGCGTGTGCGAAATATGGATGATTGCACAAAGGCAATTCTATTGAGTTTTCCCACTTTTTCGCATGCAGTGAGTAAAACTGACTTCTATTCGCTATTTTATCTTTACAGTATACTGCGTATGCACTTGATTAATTTCGCGCGCAATTTTTCCCATTTCGCGAGAAATTGTGTCTGCGAAATACGGATGGTTGCACATGAGCGATTCTATTAGCCATTTCCCAATCGAACAGAGGGCTGGGTCTAGTTGATGTTTGGAGGGACAACAATTAGTTATAGTCAGCGAGCTAAATATATATTAAAATATACCTTATTATAATTGTTGTGTTTCAGGCTGCACAAATAACTTTAGGAATGTTGGAAAACTACTTAGGTGCCATTATTCGGCATATTTTTTATTTTTTGTCCCTCCAAACAAGCGACTAGACCCAGTCCTCTGCTCGATTGGGAAATGGCTGATTGAATTGTCCCACTTTTTCCACCTTCGCAGTTAGTAGAACTGACTTTTACAGAGTTTTACTCGAGATTAATCTATATATTAATAATAGACAATTTATATTCTAACCTTTTTTTATATAGTTTTGTACATATTATACAGTGTATATTATTATTGTATACAATTCTATTTTACAGCTGTAAATCCATTGTATTTTTTAACTAAAGATGGATAATCTATTAAAGATTATTATTCATTTCGCGCGAAATGTTTTGCATTTCGCCGCCGAAAAAAGCGCCCGTTGAATCAGGTCTTAACAATTTGAAATCATGTTGGAAATTATCAGTTATGTCAACTTTACTCGGTCGACTGACATTATGACGTCATTGTAAAATCGGTATCGAATAGATTGTTTCATGAATCGATCCTACATGTACATATATTTGTTTCCTACAGAGAAGTAGCAACACGTGGTCCACATGGTATGGAATCAGATGTATGGTCTGTTGGATGTATGTTGTACACAATGCTAGTGGGAAAGCCTCCTTTTGAAGTAAGGCATGCATGTTAAGCCAGTTTTGTACAAGGCGAATTTGTTCGCGCGAAGCGTCTTTTACAGTCAATTTCAGCTGACTTTTCATCGTAAGATTCCGAACTTCGTTCCGAACTTCGCAAATTCGTTGCCAAGTTCAAAAGTTCATAATGAAATTCACAAACAGGTTTGTAAACTGGGCATTTGATTGGCTGGTTTGATTTAATAGCCAATCAGAGGCTTTGTTTACAAACCTGTTTGTGAATTCATTATGAACTTTTGAACTTGGCAACGAATTTGCGAAGTTCGGAACGAAGTTCGGAATCTTACGATGAAAAGTCAGCTGAAATTGACTGTAACTCTTTTTCCTTTGTCGACATCGCTTATCGCGTTAGCAAAAGCGATGCCGACAAAGGAAAAAGTCACTTTGCGCGAACAAATTCACCCAGTAGAAAACCGGCTTTATATTCTCAGAATTATTCGTTTCAGTTTTCGTATTATGTATGGTACATGTACAATCTTTAGTCAATGTTAGTCATGTTGAATGTTTGAAACTTTTACTGATTTAAAACATGTTTTTCATGCAGACGGAAGCTGTGAAAAGAACTCTGAACAAGGTAGTACTTGGCGACTACAACATTCCAGAGTAAGTTACAATCATTATGTTTTTCAATTTCTAAAATCGTTGTAATATTTAATTTTCTGAAAGATTTATTCATTTCTCATTATATTCTGAATCATTAACGTCATTATACACGGCAATTTTCCACCTTAGAATTGAAAATGTCAACACACTGTATGTCATGATAATTATATAAATACAGCATCAATTATAGTTATAAGTGGTGAACCAGCCTTTAGTTGTCAAGTAGCTGAATCACTGCGTAACAAGGCAGCAGTATTGTACAATCAGGCCTCGATAAAGTTAGGACCATGCACTGGGACCAAAGGTCGCAGGCATCAGAAATGAAACAATTTTTGCACATTTTCTAAAACTTTTAGAAACAGAAGATCAATACAAAATATTTTATCATTTTGTAATTCTTGTTTTATTTAATGTGTATTATGAATTTTACCATAATTTCTTAATCATGTGTATATTTTTCAGTCACATCTCAACTGAAGCTCGCGATTTGATTTTCAAGTTACTGAAAAAGGTATTTTCCAAATTTTAAGATCTGTTTATCTGATGCGTTTACGGCAGCCCGCAGAATATTGGTCAATTTCATTATAGTCCTATGTAGAAGACTGCCTCGTCCCTTCAGTTTCGAATAGAGATTAGTGCATGGGAGAACAATGGCGCGCGAGGCTAATGGGAATGCGATAAAACGTGAAGTGACCCGGAAATCGCGAATTCAAATCTAGATGGCGTCCGTTGTAATGGCGGACGTTGACGAGGATAATGCAAATAGGGAGGATTTTTCAAGGCCGTTACGCATTTTTGGCAAATAAAGTTATGCCCCAGTGCGTCCAACATAAGCTGGGTTTTTTTAAAGTAGTGGATTAGCACAGCATTTTCGTATGGCTCATAAGAAACAGGTGACAGTCCAAGATCTCTCAGATTCTTATTCTACCATGAAGCGTATGTATGGCGAGGAAACGTTAAAGTATATTTCCTATTTATTGATGAAGAGTACGAAGGTATGTTCATTTACATTTCACATATTTTACGATAAAAATGTATCAAATGTCGCAATTTAATATATGTGCATATTTAAAAATATCAATCTTAAATTATTTAAGTTAATAGCTTCGTACGCTGATCAAAATAATCCCTGTGGAAGCTCGGGTAAAATATTGTTAAATTAATCTCTATTAATCAATCTTTTTTAGCATTTGCACTATGTGCCAGTGGCAAGGAGGATGTCATCTTGAATATATTGTTTTAACCAAATTGTGTTTGCACCCCTTACAAACTTACCTATATCTTTTAAAACTAAAAGGCTCCTGAACCACAGTTGTTTAACGTATTTTGCCGTATAGCAAATAACAGTTGAGCATGTTTTGAAATGTTATTCTTAAAATCCTGATCCCGCCTCATAGCTGCAATGCCAAGTGATGTAGCCTCAACTAATACATTTTCAAATGAAACAAGATGAAATGAATATTTATTAAATTACAGAGTGTGATACAAATTTAATTATGATATAAATTATCTATTGTCTGAATATTACGAAAAGTTTGTAGGATGTACAAAAAAAATACTCCACAATGTACAGACATCTGCCATCATAATCATATCTTCAAGGTTGTAAAAGTAATATCGCAGAGATATGTAAAAAATATACTTTCATTGTTAACTCAGAGGGAAAGAAGTATTCGTTTGTGTGATAGTGGGATGGATTTATTTGGGGGAGGGGAGCTGTGCGAAATCCTTGCCATTTCAAGTATAAAAAAAAGTAAAGTATTGGGTCTTTGTGACCTTATAGGCAACTTTGTTTTCAAAAAAATTTTGACATGCTTGGCTCCTTGAGCCTGTCTGGGGTCCATAGTGATGATGCATCCTAATTGTTGGTTTAGCAACCCTCGTGCCACATCAAGTTATGTGCATGAGGTAAAGTAGGTTGTTTCAACTATTAATCCCACTTGCAATTGTTACCTACATCCCATATGAAATTCTGGTTTCCAATTCAGGGATGGATTAACGAATGAAGTTTTTTAGGATTTTTCACCATTGTGTAATGGATTTTCAAATTAATCGCGTACCGCGCACTGATGCCCGTTCTGATTTACGTGATGTTTTTATGTATTTGTAGAATCCGGGTGATAGACTGCCTTTGTCGGGTGAGTGAGCAGAAAATGGCCATCTCTATTGTGATGTTCTTTTGGAGATTTGGACGATATATAGTGCATTCTCTATTTCCTGTTACTGAATATGTAATGAATTTTGTTTAGGTATTTTGGATCACCCTTTTATACTTGGCAAACGAAATTTAGAAAAGACAACCAGTTCAGAATCACTGAAATCTCAATTCAACACTGGAAAAGTATGAATGCAAAATTTTCATTTAGAAATTGAAAAGCTCATTATTTTGTTAAATTAACTGTTTTTATAAATGATATTCAATTGACAAGTTAGCTCCCTTTTACCATTCACTTTTTGTGATTTTAGAAAAAATATGACAGTTATATTGATAGTGGTAACAGTACAATGGCGACGACGACGATATTGACTGGTATTACCAACCCTTACCAATCAAAAGGAAGTCTTCATTTAAATACTAAACCTGTGGATATATTACCTCGTGCTAAAAGTGAGGACGACTGGCCAAGACGGAACCCGTTTCATCCCTCATCGCCCCCTGTCAGGGAACGATCCAGGTAATCATTCCTATTAGAGTAATTATTGTAACTATGTAGTAGATTTTAGACTAATTTCTATTATTTTATTTTATATCAGCTTATTGTAATTTAATATAGAGGCTCAGGTCCTTTTTGAAAACCACTGTAAAATGAAAAAGTTTCCTGATTAAATATTATTACTACTACTGCCATGCATGTTTATATTCACCATTTGCGTGCTCACCCGCCATATAGCTAAAATTGTTTGGGGAAGAGGAAGATCCTGAACAGAGGAATGGAAAAAAGCTTCACAGCTGAATTTTACCTTTCTGTGTTCAATTGTCAATCTTTGTTCTTTATTCCTCCCCCTTTATCCATTGTAGGTTGGGGCAAAAATTCGCCTTTTCCAATTCAATGTGAATTGGGAGAAAAATAACCTCACGGCTTACTACACCTATCGTATATCCTTGGTAATGGTGATTAACCGAATGTTAAAGTACAGTAAAAAGGGTAAACTGTGTACATTTACGTTTAAATGGTTTGCTTTTTAGCCATAATCACTACTCCACCACATCTGGTCAGTTCTCATATGACGGTGAAACGGCAGCTCCCACGTACAAACAACCTCTACATTCCACAACTTGGCTTGGTGATATTTCTGAAAAATTTAAGAAGCAAAACAGATCAGCAGAGAATAAGTATGTTTACGCAATGCTGGCTTTAACTCCTGTAGTTTTTCTTAACATACATATATATAGCATTTTGCCCAAAAGTTGGAAAAGAGCTTGGTATTCATATTGGCAATAAATTCTTTAAATAATATTATAACGAATATATTCTACATGTGGACTATTCTGTTTGGTAATCATTGCATCCATTTCTATTTTTACAAGGAAAGTACCATCATATTGTCACTCGTCAATGTCTACATCGAATCAGCAATACACATCATTGGACCAAGGAAGAGTGACCTCGTGTTCCAATGGAACTTGGTCAAAAACTTCCCCTTCAAGGAAACACAATCCTGGATCTAGTAACAACAGTTTATCAGGAGGGAGTAAACATTGGGACAGTCCACGCAAAGGGTATAATGACCATCATAACTGCGGTTATAATCATGAAACTGAAAAACAACGACATGAAAATAACCATTCAAGATCAAGTTATGCAGAAACAATGTCTAATCATAGCAATCATGTCGACAGATCGCGTGATAGTTGCAGTCGTCGGCTCAGTAATCAGCACGAGGCGAAGCAGAGGAAAATGAAATCTATCAGTGATATTGTCGAGCCATTGAATGCACAACGTTTAAAACCTATCAGACAAAAAACAAGAAATGCTGTTGTTAGTATAACTGAATCCAACGAAGTTTGTTTAGAATTTTTTCAGCAAAGAGAGAAGCAAGATTATGTGATTGAAGTGATACGAATATCCAGTAATGGAATGAAGATTGCAACGTATATTCCAAATGGCAAGAAAGGTGTTTTATTAACATCAGAACCTCCTCCGTCATCTTCTCATTCGACGTCTACAGCAACATATCTTTACTGTTCACTGCCTTTCAAATATTGGAAGAAATATCAGTATGCAGCGCGGTTTGTTGATCTAGTTCGCAAAAAGACACCAAAGATTACATTATATACAAAGCTTGCGAAATGTATGCTCATGGAAAACTCGCCCAATGCTGATTTTGAAGCTTGCTTTTATGATGGTAAGATTTGTGCTTTAACCCATTAAGCTGCATTGCGCCCTACTTTATTATTTTGCTCTGTCTAACGGCAGATTATATTTATTTTGCTCTGTCTAACGCCAGAAGATTTTACTCGTCAAGGGGAGAGAGCTGGCACCAAATGGGTTATTATAGCTAATGTAATATATATATATATATATATATATATATATATATATATATATATATATATATATATATATATATATATATATATATATATATATATATATATATATATATATATATATAATATTTAATATTTATTATGCGCAAATTAACATGTTATAGTATATGATCAAATGCGCAATATATATATATATATATATATATATATATATATATATATATATATATATATATATATATATATATATATATATATATATATATATATATATATGTCAGTATATACTGTGTCTCAATAGTCAATACACTTTCCGGAAAGTACGTCACAATATACCTCAACGTTGTTGAAGACTTCTCTTGGACAGTGACAGTGCTTGATGGGGTTGACGTTGACGCCAACAATACACTATAGTCACTATTCTGAACACCCTCATCCCTTTTAGGATTTAGTTCCTACTTCCTTCAGCTTTCATTTCTCAACCTCTGCCTGCCAAGCCATTTTTCTATTACTGGATATCTCCATGCTAACTTAACTGGATCTGAGTCTTTCTCCATTGAATTCAATTTGTCAGCCCGTATGTCGTCATTTAATTATTCATACAGTACGTCTATCTACGGCTGTAGTAAATAAAGCTGGTATAGTATATTTCACTTTTTCATGACGTCTCGAAAATGGGTAAAGCTAGTTTTAAAGAATCGATTTACCTATCTACGGTATCAATACACACAATTAATGACTCAGACCTACAGTACATGTTTGAGTAAATTTAGAATTGGCAAATGCTACAGAAAGATTTACTTGCAAGATTCAATAGTGCTCAATTCCCTTATACATTATATTTTTTTCCTCTAGGAGCTAAGATTCACCAGTCTCGGGAATGCACTCGAATAATTGATCCCAGTGGTGTGTCGTATACATTGGAATCAATGGGAGGGAAGGATGGTATTCCTAATGATATGAGATGTTCAGTTGAACATTTGCACTCTGCTTATGAACAATGTCTACATCTAGAACGTGTGTTGACTACAGCAGAAGAAGAGTGTCAGGGAGCGCAGTTCTTTCCGATCATTGTTTGTAGACGGCCATTGTCTTCAAAAACAACTTCTGCCCATCCTCCTTCACAACGCCATGCCAATAGGTAGGTAAATGGTTCATGCCTAAATCTACTGTAAGATTTAATACTTGAAGTTGTCTTGTCCAGTATGAGCTGCTATTGGGCTCGTGCAAATGACGTCATTTCAATGACGTCATAACACGTATTTGTTGACTCCCGCCATTTTGGGTGGCAAATTAAAAATAGTTCATTAATAATAACAGCAAAACGGTGGCTGTTGCTTTTTTTTTACCTCTTTGAAGAGTTACACTGGTCCACAGCTGTGTAATAGTGAGTTGAATAAAGTAGTTTTACCACCCAAAATGGCGGATTATTTTTGGTGATATGTCATACTGCAAGACCTGAATATTTTTGCCTGTCTGAATATTCCAAGACATACACACAACGCAATCTGGAACTCCGCAGAGAGTTGTAGAACTTTACAGTTGATTTCACTAAACGTTGGCCACGCCAATTGCGAGGTTGGTTGCGAATTTGGGAACTATAAACACGAGATCATCAAGTTGATTGGAAACTGGCCAAAAAAACTAAATTTATTGTATTAAACTTATTATAATTTTAAACCTGAAATTATTATTATTATGATATTATTTATTATTAAATTAATAAATTATTATTAATAAGTTTAATACAATAAGTTTAGTTTTTAAAATTTACCGCCAAAATCGTTTGCAATTGCGAACTTGCTTCGGAATTTCATCACGAATTTCGATAATTTATGCGCGAAACTTCCGAATTTGATTGGCCGGTTTCCAATCAACTTGATGATCTCGTGTTTATAGTTCCCAAATTCCCAACCAACCTCACAACTGGCGCGGCCAAAGTTTCGTGAAATCAACTGTAATTGTAAACAGTATAAACCTGCAGGTCCTGCATGTATTTTCTAATTCAATTTTTTTAGAATTATAAAATTACTTTTTGTATATGTGTAAATTTTAATCCAATGTTGTTCTTTAGTTATTCTTCACCAAACGGTCCAAGTACGCCTACTACGTTGGCAACATCACCGAGTACTGTCACACAATTATCTACGATGAAATCTTTTAATGGACAGATTGGGATTACCCAAGATTTTAGCACAATGTCGATATCGAAGTCCAGCCCTGTCATGTCGCATAACACAGGTGATAAATAATTATTTTTAGACTACATATAGTGTAAATCATGTTCTTGGCTCCAATTAATGGTGGTATTTACTTCTGCCCTACTGGATTGTGATTTCCATGCAGTGCGACCTATCGCTCTCCCTACTCTATTTAATTGAAATGCAGAAAATGAAGATGAGAAGCTTAAATATTTTTACAGTGTACATGTATTCCCTAAATTTGTCACTTCCCATGCAATGCGTTTTGTTTCAATCACGAATATGAACACCTTTAGGAAGTAAATTGTCGCCCAAACAGAAGAACAGATCGACAGTGAATTACTTATCTTTGCAATCGAAAAGGAAAACATCAGAACCCGATGCTAAAGTCATCAAAAGCGTTTTCGTAGTTGATGTTGGTTGGTCTTCGCAGGTGAATACGTCAAAATAAATACATATGTTTACTTTAGTACGATCTCAGTTAAAATTTAACTATCTGTATGCCAGTATTATGCCTTTATAACTTGGCATATTTTTGGTAGTAAGGAAATCATGTTATTGATACATGCAATTTGAATACTGCAATTGCGGATATAGGCTATAGCTGTTTTTTATGCTTGTCCGGCAGGTAACTTATAATATTATACCTCACAATGAGATTGTCCAATCAGAGAACTAAATTTGTACCACATGACCATGGTATTTTTCAGCGAATACTATGACCTAGGCAATTTGAACCCTGGGTGTTTTACCCGGGGCCATGGTATTCGACTTCGAATACCACGCTTGAGCGGGAAATTCGACTTTTTTAAATGTAAAGTTATCAAAAGTTGTGTTTTGAAATTAAAAGTTAATTGAATGGTATTTGCTTTCTACTTATTTTTGAAAGATTCGGTATAATATACCATTTATAGACCTTTCACTCGGGGTATTCCACAAAAAATTACCCTGCGGGATGAAATATTCCTCGGGCTTCGCCCTCGGAATATTTCATCCCTCAGGGTAATTTTTTGTGGAATACCCCTCGTTTCAGGTCTATAACTGATAATAGTTAATGTTGTATAATCCTGCCATGATATTTTATAAACAGGATTTTATAGAACTGGAAAATTTGTTAGACAGTCGTGAGTCGTATTTTAGAAATTAAAACAATTCAATTATTTCAAATTATATCTCTTCAGCTTTCAAATGGTGAAATATGGATGCAATATAATGATGGTTCTCAGCTCATTGTCAATCCTGAAGCTGGTCTCGTGAAATATACGGATAAATATGGTGCAATAACAAAGTAAGATATCGCGTTATAAAGCTCGTTACGCACGCGCAAGATTTCATACACGGCATGCAAGTTTTCCTGACTAGTACATGCACTTGTTCAAAAGCTATAGCGTGCTACGTTACAGTACAGGTTTTGCTCGTCTGTCGTCTGTATGGGTCAACAACGAAAATTTGCCAAAAATCAACAAAACCAAAACTTGCCATAGAAAATACGTACACACGTGCCTTTAGCGAATGGAATTTGCCATAAATATTATGAAAACTTGCCCTTCTGATACCGGCTACCTTAACGCATTGTTCTTTTTGACGTCTCACTTTATAAATTGATTCGACAAGATAATTCTATGTTCATATTACGTAAAACCACATGCACTTTATCAGGGCCGCCGAGAGGTTGTGCGAGTCAGGGGAAAAACTTTCCCAGGGGCCGCTATGACGTCATAATTGTAAAGCGGGAGAAGCGGTGTCCGGCACTAATGCAGTTATAGGATTTATATTCTCCTTTAAAGCAATCTTGAGGGGCGTCCTATGACGAGCATGTACTTTATATTGACATTTTAATGTTTGGTTTTGATCAGGTATATGGTCTCGTGTTGTCCAGGAGGGCGGGGAGGGATTGTACTCTAGGATTATGGTTCTTGCGGAAATATGACGTAACTATCGTATAGATTATGTCGGATCTCACTATTTCAATTGGGTAAATACTAGGGGCGCTTTCCATTAACACGGTCAGAACGGTGAAATTGTTGAATGAAACACAAAACATTTGGGCTTTGGACCTATCTGACCGGAAAATTTAAATAACATTAGAATGAGGTCCATTTTCGCTAGATATTTGAGAAACATAGACCAAATCTTTCCATTGATACAGAGAAAAGAATTTGGGTCTGACCGGTCAGGCCATCAAATGGAAAGCTTCCTAGTATCATCAGTCTTTTTCGCTAATTACAGTATATGTGTACTATGTGAGTTCAAATTCAGCTTGAATCAAATTCTTGTTGACATTGCAATGTTCGAAATTACTTGAGAATAATTATTTCATATGTTGTTGAAAATTTATTGACTGCGTGCCACATCGTGAATATAACCATCAAAAATGAACGGACTATATGCAGTATAAATTACTGTAACTTCGTCGCTTTATTTCCTCAATAGTAACGATTTTTTATATAAAAAAAATTCATGCCATGTATTGTTACTTGCGCTGTCTTCGTTCGGTAACTCATTGAGGATGATAAATTACACAATGCAGATGAATTAGTAATGATTTGTTCACTGATTGATTGGACGATTAGTGTAGACGAATGTTATGCACGTCTGACAATATGTCGTTATTCGATCACTTTAAATGGTTTTCACAGATCTTAATAAAATATGTATCATTTTAGAACAGGCGTTTCAATCTGATATAGCTACATTTGTATTGACAGCTTTCAAAATCCGAACATCAATTATTTGGTTTCATTTTATACCCCATCTGATTGCGGCTGTTTAATACACAGGCCGCGAGTGTATATAAAAAAAAGATAATCCATGCAATACAAAGATAATCCAACTTTTACATGCAATCGCGCGTTAATTATTGAGTAAGCTGTGTAGATTCTTTTCAATAAAAGTCCTTAGCTATCACTATCAGGTGGCAAGAAAAACATGATGCGAATAAAAATTGTTGCATGGTCGAAATCACACTTTTTTCATCTCGGACTCTGGTCTCTGTGCATAAATGTTCTTGGGTTAACTATATCTTTGACATTTTTGCATCCCAAAAATCAAGATTTCTGCAAACTTCCAGACAGTTCATAAACTGATGTTTCAGTCACGGAATTTTCCGCGTAAAACGTCTGCGCATGCGTCAAGCTTACCGAAATGTGTCTTGCGAACGTGGTGTCAAGTGTTCCGAAGGTTGTCGAACACTCAAAATGGAAGCGACCTGGAGCAACTTCGATGTGTTGCCTTTTCTGTGAAAATGCAAGCGGAATAATGAATGTGACAACCTAAAAGCTATAAATAATTACAGTCTATATGTCTACATGTGCAAGGGGTAGTATTATGCAAGAAAAATTAATGAACCAAAGGTGACTGTCGATAAATTTATTGTATAAAACGTTCTTTAACTGAACCATACAAAGTGATCCACCTTTTTCTCATTTTACATAGCATGTATAAATTTTGCGTTGACTACATTTAAGCAATTAAGGGTAATAATTTACTCCACAATTTAATCGTGTGCGAATACTTAACTATTTGATAGTTTTCTTACTTTTCAAGAAATGTTCACACACTTCCCGGTCTAAAACGATAATTTTTAATTTAAATTCTGTTCAGTCTTTTTAGATTTTAAATGTTAGAAAACTTTTTATTGATGTCTAAACTACGCGTCTAGTGTATTTTTTTTGTTTGTTTCACTTACCTTAAATAATTAAATAGCCATGTTTTTGTTGACAATTTGGCATTTAAATTCCTCTCCATTTTTTTCTATTGCACGCGCACGCGCGGACGTTTTCCCGCGGTGTTTCATTTAATACTTTCTACAATATTTTATTGTGTTTAATTTGTGGTTTCTCCATCAATTTATTATTGTATGTTTTTTTCAGATTCGCGAAGAAAGACAGGATACCAGACAACATAAAAACTAAACTTGCACGTTTGCCTGATATAATTGAATTATTTATCTCTGCCCCAGAAATGCACTGAAAATTAACTTCTCACGGAAATGTATATAACTGAAAATAACCCTAGTCTAATATTTGTATAATTATTAGGTAGATATTTTCATCTAATTTTTACATTTTGTAAAATTGTATTTTATATGTAGCTTTTAATTATATATATATATTTTGTAATTACTAATGTACATTGTAAGTTGTAACTCGTAACGTCTTGCATTTTCAAAAGATGTTTGTATCCCTATTGTATGTAACTGAATTTGCGGTTAAAGCTCGACAACTGGACTCTGTAGCTCAGTTGGTTAGGGCGCTGCACGGGAATCCGCAGGGCCGCAGATTCGATTCCTGTCAGAGGACCTATATAGTTGCATTTGTCGCAATTGCTCCTGGCTAAGTCTAATAAGTACTATTATAATATAGCATTTGTAAATTCTGAACACTGATTGGCTAAGAGCCGTGTTGATATAACTCAATGTCAACACGGAAACGTCGGAAAATTTATTTCTTTATGTTTCTTTGTGCTATATTATGAAGCAAATATAAAACATTATTTCTGTATTGATAATAATATACAGTTATATCAACACTCGTGGAAATTGGGAAAACTCGAAATTGTGTGAAAACACTCCGCCCTTCGAGTTACAAAAGCAAAGAAAAGCAAGTGGGAATGGCGAAATATATATCTTAATAAAATATGTCAGATGTGATCACCACACAAGGAAGCCAGCCACAATTAATGTGTCCTGCTCAGATTTTGGCATCCGATCCAACCAATATTTTGAAATTACCAGTAGAATCCCCTTTTGAGTGAAATTTTGATCTAGACAAGTCTGGACAAAAATTTCATCACAGCTTGAAAAAGCATCACAAAATTAGTAATATTCCGAAGTTTCGTTGCGAAATGTTGTAAAATACGGATATGATAATATAGCCTTGCGAAGTTTGCCGTTTTTCAGTCATTTTGTATTACAAACGGGAAATTGATAATCATTTTGATCATCTGATTATCAATTTCCCAGCATGAGCTCCACCTTTGAATTTACTATATGAGTAAATTCTTAAACACGTCCGAATTTATCATGATAAATTCGCGGCACATTTTGAATTTATAATAATAAATTCGCGGCACCTAACCCTAACACTAACGCCTAACCAATAACCCCTAACTTTTTAAACTTTTTTGAAAATCTAATCCCCGTCCCCGCGCGACCGACTTCCCCTTTAGTGACATTACATTTATAACAAGAAGTCTTGTCTAATGCTTGTGGTTTTATGATTAACTCTATTGATAAAAAAATTACTTCGGCGATTGCATACTATGCTGGGGGAAGGGCAAGGAAAATGGGCCCTTTGGCAGTTTTGCCCCACCACTGAAGAATTCTTAAAAAATGCACTGCTGAGTGGCAGGCGTAGCTATGCCATTGATTTTTTTCGTGGCTATGCCATTGCTTCAATCTTTGATTTTTTGGTCTTTGATTTTTGGGTCTTTGATTTTTCAGTCTTTGATTTTTCAGTTTTTAATTTTTCAGTCTTTGAATTTTTGGTCTCTGATTTTTGGGTCTTTGATTTTTAGGTTTTTGATTTTTGGGTTTTGGATTTTTCAGTCTTTGACTTTTTGGTTTTTGATTTTTGGATCTTTGATTTTTCGGTCTTTGATTTTTCAGTTTTTGATTTTTCAGTCTTTGATTTTTCAGTCTTTGATTTTTTGGTCTTTGATTTTTGGGTTTTTGATTTTTCGGTCTTTGATTTTTGGGTCTTTCATTTTTGGGTCTTTCATTTTTGGGTCTTTGATTTTTGGGTCTTTGATTTTTCAGTCTTTGATTTTTCAGTCTTTGACTTTTTGGTCTTTGATTTTTGGGTTTTTGATTTTTCGGTCTTTGATTTTTGGGTCTTTGATTTTTGGGTTTTCAATTTTTCAGTCTTTGATTTTTTGGTCTTTCATTTTCCAGTCTTTGATTTTTTGGTCTTTGATTTTTGGGTTTTTGATTTTTCGGTCTTTGATTTTTGGGTCTTTGATTTTTGGATCTTTGATTTTTAGGTTTTTGATTTTTTTAGTCTTCGATTTTTCAGTCTTTGACTTTTTGTCTTTGACTTTTTGGATCTTTGATTTTTGGGGTTCAGCGGACTTGACCGTTTTTTGTTATGAGACATGTTGCCGGAACACCAAGTTAGCCAACGGGATAGAGACGAATGGCTCCCCGAAACATTATGGGCTACGCCCTTTCCTTCACGGAGCCAAGCCGTGCGCTTTCTCTAGTCTTTTCCAAGCGGTTATCTGGGGCCCGAGATTTTTAGTGCTCCGCACCACGATAGTGCTTTGCGAATTTCTAGGAGCGCACACTTTTCTTATGCCCCTGCACATGTCCGTATAGTGCTCCGTTATTTTCTAACACGCTTTATTAAGGCCCATGCATATATACTTTCTAGTGAGTAGTGACCTGCACTTTTCCATGGTTACACGTTATTCCGAGGACCAGTCCACTCTTTTTTGGGTCTCATCGACGGACCGCGCTTTTTTATATCGGGGCCATGTTCTATCCACCGCTTTTATGCCGAATAGAAGGTTAATTTGCGCATCACTATTGAATTTAAAGCCAGTCCGCATGGAGAGCTTTCTTTCGACTTGCTTCCTCTTGCCAAGCGAAATGTGAAAATTCTGAGGATATTCATTATCAGTCACTGTTAATCATTATTGACAAATAGTATACTATACATACACTGGCATACCAAAAATGAATAATGTTTTACTCAGGGCCATAACTACTGGAGGGAGGGGGGGGGGGGTTGATGTGTATAACACCCCCAAAGAAAAGTCAAGGAAGGGGGGCCGAAATGTTGGAGTTGCGGAACGTGTTAAACATTAAGGAATACTGTGAAAAATTGAGGTCCAAAAAGCTCGGAAAACGTATTTTTAACCCTCAGGTTATCCCAAAAAAGGTTTGGGAAATATTTTTGGGACGTTTTATTTTCGCACGAAAACGTCGACCTCTTCTCCCCCTTCTCCCCCCGTCGGCAACATTTTCCGGAAAATACTTTTGAGGAGGGGGTGCAGTCCGGAAGGAAGGGGATTCCATCCACCAACCAGATATCCCTCGGTACGTCCGTAGTTTTACTTTTGAATATTAAACTTGAATATATGAGAAGTGAGTTATAATTAATTATCTATTAAAACGATGAATAATATCGTATCACGGCAGTCGGCAGTATGTGTTTTAATCGCCGCTCTATATAGCTAATGTTGAATATTATAATGGCCCATTTTTGCTATTTACTATCTTCAAATTGATTAAATCTAAAAATTAAAAAGCTAGAAACCTAAAAATATAAAACCTAAAAATCTAAAATCTAAAAATCAAGAACCTGAAAAACAAGAACTTGAAAATCAAGAACCCAAAAATCACGAACCTGAAAATCAAGAACTTGAAAATCAAGAACCCGAAAATCAAGAACCTGAAAATCACGAACCCGAAAATCACGAACCTGTAAATCACGAACCGAAAAATCACGAACTGAAAAATGTAAAAGTGAAAAACGTACTTTATAGGTGTCGCGTCTGGGCTTCCGTAGTTTCCTTGAAGCGTCTTAATTGTTATGGGAAATTCTCATCTATATAAAAGTACTGTAGTGTGCCTATTTTTAGTTAATTGCGCCTGGGTACGAGGCTGATCTCGGCAGCAGATGCCGCCTACGTGCATGGGAATCGCTTAACAAAATCACACGCACGCTATGGTATGTCTGCTATGATCCCTCCACTCATCTAATGAAAACAATGTCAATGTTTTGGTATTTGTCTTTTGTTTTACTTGGTAATTGGATACGACTCAAAACCTATCGCACATCACATCAGCTTGCTGTTTAGAAAATATTTTGTTCTATGCATCACTCTATGACCATGTGTGACCTATTTTCTCTACCTACGTTGACATTATATTTGGCATAATAAGATTTCAGCATCTTTCTGCTATGCAGGCTACATCTTTGTTGACTTGCTTTGTTACAAACTGGACTGTTGAGTCACTAGAATGATTGATTGAGCATGAGACAATTAAAATTCGGTGAATTAAGGTGGTGTGCTTGAAAGCTCGCATTAATACTGGCGATAAGCATTTGGTGTTTTATTTATGCATTCTTTGAATTTGCGGGCTATTTCTAGCTGATACTGTAAGGTAATCTGTTTTTCTCGAAGTATATAACTTCCACTATATCTATGAATGGCCGGTCTGATCTCGAATTAAGAAAACTCAATCCGGATTCATTACACAAATACAAATGATTAATGTTATTTTTGCCTAATACCACTTTTCAAGTCATAACCATTTGTTTAGTACACTGCAGGGCGTCCCGTAAAAACTATACTTTTAACATTTTCCTGTTGTAATAAGTTGGATGCCTGAGCTGATGAGCATTATGCCGAACCCACGGAAGCGTAAAAAAATACAGCTAGGGTGTATTGAAAAACGAGACCTTAATAAATAACTACTGTATTCTTGTTAAGTACAAGATTTTCTACTCATCCTGGGAATTTAAAATAGCTTCTGATCATATGAAGGAGCATATATAACTGCATCAAAATTGCCAATTACCGTCATACCCTTTGTTCAGCAATAAATTCATATGTTGGACGAAACCACATTAAAATTTTAAATAACTTCGTGAACGGCCTGGTTTCAATATGGTCGTATAAAAGAATGAGTTGAGTCACGATCTTTTTCATCAGCCGAAATACAACATTTTAGAACTGAAAATACGCGAAGTGACTGAGAACTAGAGAATACTTATGTTAAAATTTATAAATACTTAATTTATAAAATTTATGAATTTTAGAGAATACTCATGTTAATATACTTGTATTAATAAAATTCGCGTTGTACTCATTTTCGCTCAGCTTTAAATTCGCGCGATTTAATTTCGCGCAGCTTTAAATTCGCGCAAGTAATTTTCCGTTTTCGTTCTTTTTGGTTTGTTTGATAGATCTATTAACGCATTTATAATGAGTATTTTTTTTACCAACAAATCACTTCAATATTTGTCAACTCAAAATCAAAAAGCGATTATAGGTGGGCTCAATAAATGTCTTCAAAATTATGTAATGTAAGCAAAATTCATGATAACAATAAAGCGTGAGTTCAAAATACCAACAAGAACTAAAAAATTATTGTATGGTTCTCATTTGCCCAATACAATAACATAATGCAAATAGTAATGCAAATCAGTTAATAATAGAAAGATAAACATAGTTACACCAGAAAGCTTTTCGCGCGGATTATATTTCGCGCAGTATTAAAATTTGCGCACCCAGCGCTGCGCGAATTCTAGTAAGGTATACGTGGTTTACAATCTTACGATCCTGGAGGGTGTTCAGAGACGAGCTACTAAATTTATACTTCAAAATTATGAGTTGTAATATATCTTACTCACTGGAACAAATTTGAAAATTCATATAAGGCGGTCATAGAATGGAAATTGTGTGGAACTTTATTGGAAATAGCATGGATTTTGATGATCCATAATAATTGTATATTTCCATACTATGGATATAGTATGGAAATAGTATGGATATACTATGGATATAGTATCGAAATAGTATGGATATACTATGGATTTAGTGGTGCAATTGTACATTTCATAGTATGGATTTCACATTTTTTCCCAGTGTTACTGGCTTGAAATAAAGGATCTCATCTTTTTTTTCAAATGCAAACAAGGCCTCTACGACCTAGATATCTCCTCGTTTGTCACCTTTTCTTCCTTGCTTGAACGGGTGCGAGGTGAGCGATTACAATTTGCTTCAAGTCAATCCGTGCAAAACCTCTCTTTTTTAGAAACTCTTTTTTTAACCGAATTGTCTTTCTATGGAACAATCTCTCTCCGATCATCCGTAACAGTTCGTCTGTTTCATCCTTTAAGCTCCAGCTCCATTCTCACCTCAATACTCTTCTCAATTAGAGTTAGACTCTTCTTTCGATGTTAACAGAATGCGCGCTTGGAAAGCTACTACTCTAAATGCTAATAATCTAAACTATTAAATTTATATATTTATGTAAATAGTGTTCTAATCCTTGTCTTTAATGTATGTCTACTTATGTATTGTATCAGGTTGGTCTTCACACCCATTGGGACTCATGTCCTGTTGACCATACCTTCAATCATTGTTATAATTTTGTTTGATTGTAAAGTTAATAAATAAATAATACTAAAGCCTGCCAACACGAGAGAAACTTGCTGAGCTTACCGCCTTGAGTGGCAGCAGCTAGCTCAGCTATGTATTTTCACCGACATAACTGACAAACTGAATCATTTGCATTTTCCTCCATTTTGTTCCAAGTCACATGAAGAAATTATGGTTTCTCATTGGCTAATTGATTCAAGCAGCTCAGCACTAAGCTCACAACATCCGCAGACGCTGAGATTTTTTCCTCACGAGGTGAAAAATATCAAACACGATAGTCGATACTATTTTCCTCAAGGCCTCGAGAGGTCAAATCCTCACGAAAACTATCCGCACACGAAAGAAACTTGCTGAGCTCTAGCTGCCAGTGGGCAGTGGCAGCCACACGAGGCGGTTTAGCTCAGCAAGTTTGCTCTCGTGTGCGGCAGGCTTTATAGGCATTCCAAATTCCAACAAAGCCAAAGCCCAAAGGCTTGATTTCAAAAGGTAGTTTTTTCGGGACACCCTGTATATGAATTAATTCAACTAATAAGTTCTTTGAATGTTTGCATGGCGATAAAATATAATTGTTTTTGTTTGTGGAAACACCACGTAAATGGTGCAGTAATAAATTTATGTGGTGTTTCCACAAACAAAAACAATTATAATTCAACTATTAAAGCTAAATATGACCAACGACGAGCTAATGTCAAAACCTTTGCTTCCAAGTGCACCCAACTTTGGCCTAATGCTGACAAGTTTTTTATTGGTTAGGTTTTCACCATGAATATTATATGGTATCACGTTTCCTGGACATTTTTTATTCCTTTGGCTTTGCGGCTTTGCCGATGCATGAATAATGTTTACGTTAATAAGCCGCGAGAATAATCGTACGCTGAGATATGGATTTCAGTTTGTTCGTTCAATCTGGTTCAATCTTCTGCAGTTCTGGAGCGTTCAGCCCAACACCATTGTTGGATATCCATGACCATGTTGTCCCATGCATGCTTAACCGTATTAAAACGAATAAGCGGATGAACAATAATCCTGCAGTGATAAACCAAATTTATGTTATTGCAATATTTGCAGGTTTATGCATTTCGGGAAATGCGGGTGGAATTGCAATTAACAATGCTCTTCTTTCATTGCGTATTTTAACTGATAAACATCTACGAAGACATGAAAAGAATTGTTTGAACCAGTACTTTTCATTGAATAAATATTAGAAATCGTCGCATGGCTTGGAAATAGGAAACCACATTTGACACTCCTGCACTCAGTATATACTTAATGCAGACACAAAGACTCATTTCCTGTCAGATTCCTGCTAGATGTGAAGCAGTGTAGCCTTTAATACATGCACTCTGGTGATTTGGTCAATTCAGCCTTGCCTTGGCTCAATTCAGTCTCTAGTGATTTGATTAATTCGGCTTGAATCTTGAGCGCGGTAAGTATTCTTTTGATTTATAATGATTAATGTATGGATTTTAAAGTGAAGTATAGTTGAGGAGATCCGTAATTTGATCATGTCAGATTGTCAGGTGCTGGCGACGATGTTGTTTATTCGGTCAAAACAAAGATTTTGCTACTGAAAAATATTTTGCTGCCTGCCTGTGTGAATTGATAATTAATACATTGTTATTGATTTACCATCCAAGAAATTTCAACTTTTTTTCAAATGCATGAGGCTCATGTCATGGTGTGCGCTTTGATTTGTTAAAAAATTAAAGTTTATACAAATATGTTTATACTTTGAAGAAAGTTTCAAACGTTACAGTCAATTCTGATTAAAACTTTCTAAATCCATATCGGCCTTTTCGGATTCTGATTGTACCGGTTTGAAGGATTGCTGATTGTTTGCGGCTAGTATGGATAAATTTTGAAGTTGAATTGTAAAGCCAAGATGTCTTGTCCGAGTGTCCGTTAGTCCATGGCACCATAGGGGTCGCTTGTATATACATCGGTTAACTAACTTAGTGCGAAAGTTAACTAATAATCAATTATTGTGTATATGCCACATATTAAACCAGAAAATAGTGATTAAATAGCAATTAAGAATTCTATACAACCGGCCGCTATCAACAAACTGAGCCTGAAATAACTTTTGAAGACTGAGAAATTAGAGTGAAGCCAGCATGATGATTTAGTTAATCTAGTAAAGGAATTAAATTGAAAATACTTTTCTAAAAATCAGTTTTCAAGGAAGGGTTGTCCAACGAAAGTTTAAAACCGTGCTAAGGAAGTTAGATCAGATAACGAACCAGAAGGAACCAACGGATGGTTGTCTGGTTTATATCAAATTGAAGGAACTGTTGGAAAAAAGCAGGAA